AAAAGCGCCACTTTTGGAATCCAGAGCGAAGATTTTTGGGGAATTAGAACAAACACCCCCTTCTGGCAGGGGCACTCCCCCCTCCCATCACCCCGGGGCAGCTCAGGAGCAGGATCCTGGGTGGGGTCACCGCTCGATCCAGCCAGACCTTGGATCCACCACGGCACGGCCAAAACAACACAGAAGAAAAACCCTCTGCCAGGGCATTTATTTGATAAAGCAGAGCGTGGAAAGCGGGATTTTCCACGCAGAGGAGTCACCTGGCAGGTCCTTGACCTCGATGCAGCCCAGGAAGCGCAGAGCATCCTTGTAGTAGGCGGCGTGGTTCCCCACCGTCTGGTAGTACTTGCTAGAGAGGTCGTAGAAGCGGCTGTGCACCGAGGTCACCCCGGGCAGGGTGTTCAGCAGCTCCTCCACCTCCTCGATGGTCTCCTGGGCAGGGGGAAGAACCTGCCTTTGTAAAGGGCGAGGAGCACCCGGTGCAGCGCCGGGATCCCGGGCGGGAGGGTCACGGCATTCCAGGGTGCTGCCCAGGGCAGGAGGGACACCCTGCCAGTGTCAGCACGGCCAAAGCCACCACCGTGGGATCTGTGCATGTATTTATATGCTTGTTTAAAAATAAAGCAGCAGTCTCCCTTCACACAGTAGTGAGGGGGGGAAAAAAACCCACCCCCTAACCAGCTGTAATTATATATATACTAAGGGGTTTAAAATGAAGGGAAAAGGTTTGGGTGGGATTTTGGGGTAAATCCTTCCCTGTGAGGGTGGTGAGGACCTGGCACAGGTTGCCCAGAGAAGCTGTGGCTGCCTCATTGCTCAAGGAGAGGTTGATGGGGGTTGGAGCAACCTGGGATAGCGGAAGGTGTCCCTGCCCATGGAACTGGATGGTCTTCAATATCCCTTCCAACACAAACCATTCCAGCATTCCATGGTATACACGCCCAAAGCCATCGCTCTGCGCTTGCTCTAGGAGATCTAAAGCTGCCCTGCATGAAAAACCTCATTTTGGGTTTAAAAGATGGTTCCAAAACAAGTCAAGGATGACAAACCCCACGTGCTTCGCTCAGGCAGCAACACTCCAGGTCACCAGGAGCAGCTCCCACATCCTGGGGAGGCTCACGAGACCCTCTGAGCTGGGAGCTGGGACAATCAAGGAACGCCACAGCACCCCAAGACCTCCCAGCCCGGGCCACCCCTCACCTTGGTGACCTGCAGGTCCCCGATGTTGAGCTTGAGGGCCCCGATGGCTGTTTTGCACAGGATCACGGCCTCGTCACTGCTCTTCACCTGCAGGGACACAGGGGAACCTGCTGGGAGTGTCACCTGCAGCCAGGTGGCTGGGACAGGGCTGGGTGCACATCACTGATCACATTCCTGCAGTAAAATCCCTGGATTCTGCAGCACAGGTGTCACACACACAGACCGGAGCCTCCTCACCTGCCAGTGAACTGCCACAGGGAGCAGCTTCAGACGTACCTTTTCCCGAGTCTTCTCCAGGAAAGTCAGGGCCACGTTGGGATCTGGAGCAGAGAAAAAACAGGTTTTAAAAAGTAGCAGTGCCAGGAGGTCCCGTGGAGCTGAACTTCACCTAAAAATACGTCGTTAACTGGATTCCTGAAGGCTGGAATGTGTGTTTTCCACAGCATGCCCTCAACCTGCAGCAGGTGCTGCCAGGTAGGCCGGGCTTTTCCTCACCAACCACCTCTCCAGGGAAGCTGTGGACTTCCTACTCCAGGAGGCAGCAACAACCTAAGCATTCCAAGCCAGTGCTTTCCCTTCCGAAAGCACCAGGGCAGCAGCTCCCCATCCGAGATTCACCTGTGCCTGGCCACATTCCACAGGGATCAGGGGCTAAGAGCAGCTCAGGGAGAGGGGGAGGACACGCACCTGTCATCTGCCGGACCACGTGCAGGATGATCTCCACCAGGGACAGGGGGTTCACCCTGCAAAGAGCAGCTCAGGGTCAGCACAGGCCCCCCAGGTGACCCCCAAGCCCCCCCCAGGTGACCCCCAGGTGACTCACCTGTGCTCAAACTCGCTGATGAAGTTCTCGTAGAGCTGTGGGGACAAGGAAAGGGACACTCAGGGCAAATGAAACCCCAGTTCAGAGCTTCTCACTCTTATTTCCTCTCCATTCCAGCTCATTTGAACATCCCTGGAAGTGCCCAAGGCCAGGCTGGACAGGGTTTCGAGGGACCTGGGCTAGTGGAAGGTGTCCCTTCCAGGGACAGTGGAGCATGATGATCCTTAAGGTCCCTTCTAACCCAAACCATTCTATGATTTTTCCAACAAACTGGGCACCCATACAGAAATTCCAGCACTGTGAAGAATCCAGGAGCCCAGAACTACCCATTTTAGCTCCTCCCAGCTCCAAGGAGGGACCTGAGGGAAGCATCCGTGAACACCCAACACTCCACCCTGCACTTGGCAAACCTCTTGTTACAGAAGGGAGTGGAAAAAAAAAAAGAATAAAAATCCCCCTGCATCTCCCAAACGTAAAAAACTTGAAGTGAATGAAAGCAAAGAATGACTTCGAAGGTTACAAAACCCTCAAGAACCCCCCTGTATCTCTCAAATATAAAAAACTTAGAGTGAATGAAAATAAAGAACGACTTCGAAGGTTACAAAAAACCCGACATGTTTAATTTTAACCGGATTTTCACACAGACACTGCAGGCTTGCGGGAGGTGAGTCCACCCGGGCCAGTGATTCTCCAGGAGGATTATTG